AGTAGCAAAATTAGTTATTAAGTAGCAATGAAAATAATTTCATGGTTGGGGGTTCACCACAACATGAAGAACTGTATTAAAGGGTCTCAGCATTAAGAAGGCTGGGAACTACTGCCCGAGAGGGTCTTGCCTGGTGTACTGTAGCCATCACCTGACCCAGGGAGTAAGGCCTCCTTTCCAATACTGGCCCTTAAGCAGAACAAAGCCATTGGTCTTTGCAGTTCACCCTTAAGTTCTGATGGGCAGCATCCCAGCATAAAAACTATGTATTAAGGCCCACATGGCCATGAAGAGCTGTGCCAAGCCATAGAAGGCTGGCTCTGGCCTTCCCGCACAATAAAGGTTCACTTTGGTCTTGGCCTGACTCTCTTCCCACTTATGTGGGCTTTTGCATGGATGGGTGCTGGGAGCCTGGGCCTTCCTGAAATGGCCTCAAAGGAAGAGGGCATAGACCTGTTCCTAGCGGATCCTGCCTTGACAGTGCACTTGGTACGTGGTTGCCTGGTTTCTAGCTCTGGGCTTAGGTTTCTGTGTAGCCTCAGGCAGATTTTGAAGGTTACAGCTGCCCACCCTTCCTTATGTCCAGGTCCCAACTCCTCAGTCCCAACCATGGGGCCAGCTGGGCTCGGTCGTGTTCCAGAATTCCACTCTCAGACTCCTCCTCCACCCTACCCCCCAGGCCTTTGTTCCTGCCCAGGATGCACCTGCGTGGCCTCTGGCCCTCATTGTTTGCTCTAGGGCCAGCTGGGCCACATCAGGGAACAAGACACGCCAAGACTGGGGACTATGGACCTAGTGGGCTCTCGGCCAAGTCTCTTGAGAACCCCAGGCCGCCCCAAGTGTTCAATTTTCTTCTTGTGAGCAAGAGGCTAAGTTCATCCTTAGAGGGACACCCCGAAAAGACAAAACGATGTGAGAAGCAGCAGCCCAAGTTGTTCAAAGCATGGTGGACAGGAGGGCAGTTCCCTCCCAACCTATAGCCTTGTGGGAAAAAGTTCCATCCTACATTTACCTCTTACCACTGGGACCGAGCAGCTGACCCTAACCCTGGAGCTAATCTGGTGCAGTACTGTAGACAGGCAAGCAGGCAGAGGTGTGTATAGCTTCATCTTGGCCCCCTGGTGGGAAGTGTGCTCTGCAGCTCCTCATGCTAGGGTTATCACTTGTCACCCCCCCCCCCCCCCCGGGGGGGGGTTAAGACCCCCCCCCGTGCCCTGTCCCCCCCCCCCCCCCATGGAGGGTGTTAAGTCACTTCCCTGTGCTCTGTGCCTCCAGCCCTCTCTTGAATTAAAAGATGCCTGGCAGTAGGAGCCCACAGAGGTCATAACAGCTCAAGCATGTCCACCTTGGGGAAGGCCCTGGTGTCCAGCCCACATAAGAACAGCACGCAGAACATACCTGCCCATAGCCATTCCAAGATCTCATTCTCTCTTCCTAGGACTCAACTCCCAAACTGCAGAGACCCTGCTGGCCCCTCCTCACACATAGGGCAATGGAGACACCTCTAGGACCTTTTGGTGGCAAAGACCAGTCCTCCCAGGCTGCTTTGGGCCTGGTGGTGGTCACTGGTAAACCACATGCCTGTGACCCATCCTCATGCCAGTTCACCCCCAATAAGTGTGGTTTCCCCTCCTATCCTGGCTTCCTGGGGAATCCAACCGGCTGCTGTCAGAGTTCCCCAGAACAGAGTCACAGCAGTCTGGGACTCCACCTTCTCCACTCAATTTAAGACTATAGTGGCTACACACTGAGACCATTTGCATCTGACCACTTCTCGCTGGAGGAACCACCTCAAACAACGTAGCCCCTCTGAGACTTTGGGAAATTATAACCCTGTCAGGACGGGGCAAGAGCTGGCCATTGGGTGCCCTGGCTCCCAGAGGCTGTAGATACAGGGATCTGGGAAATGTTCTAGTTACCTCTTTCTTCCCAGGAGCCTATTTTCCTTTTCCAATAGAGCTGCTTCTCACAACTCTGAACCTCTCCTGTCCAGGTACTGGCTGGGACAGGCGATACCAGGTCTATGATAAAGAAGTGATGTTATCACCGAGGGACTCCTGGCAGATAAACTAGGTTGCCCAGGAGCCACCCAGGGCCAGTATATAATGCAGTGGGCAGGGCTTAGGAAACCCCTTCTTTGGCGGGGCGTGTTATCTCAGGGACAGATCAAAGTGCCATAGGCAGGGTCAGCACTCCTCTTGGCATGCAACAGGTTCCTGCTGTCTTAGAGGACACAAATCTAGTGTTCAGTCAGTGAGGAAGAGCTGGAGCAGTCCTGGTCCGGCCCTTGCCAAGACAGCTCCAAAAATTCAGCAGAGGGCCTTTTATTTACTCCAGGCTGGAGTTAAGTGTCATGTGGGTTGTCCTGGGCACCTGAAGTGTTGGCTTCACTGGAGGGCATGGCCTGTGGGCACTCTGAGGACATATCCAAACTCAGGCCAGATGGTAGTCTGGGCTCCCTGAGACCCCAAATCTCAGACAGGATGCTCATCATGGGTGGTCTGTGTATAGATGGTAAGCCCGCAGACCTCTTCTGCATGTGACATGTACAAACTGGAAAGAAAGTATTGTTCAACCTGATCACACCGGATTCAAAAATACTGCATACCAGATGCACACGGAGCTGGGGTACACACAGCTCAAAGGCACAGAACTCGTATAGCCCATGCACAGGGAAAACTGCCTAACTAGCTGCCTCTAGGTAGAAGGCTCCACTCCTGTAATTTTATGCATCATGAAATCCATCTCTAAGAAGTTAACATTTATAAAAAAGAAAAGAAAACCAAACAAAAACTTTTGGGACATCCTGATCCAATGTGTGGGCTATGCTGGAGGCTTCACTCATACAAGGGCTCCCCTGTGGGGGAGTGCTAGCCTTAAGATGGGATCTTGAGACTGGCCACATGTAGCTCGTGGCTTCAGGGCAGGCCAGACCCTCTGTGCAGACCTGCCTGAGCCCACATGGCAGGGTGCTATAGCAGGTGAACCTGAGGCAGGTGCACCCACACCTTCTACTCCAATTCCACAAGAGGGCTGAGAGTTCTGGCTTGTGTAAGGTCAGAGGGGCAGCAGAGAGGGAGAACAAACTAGAGAATCAAAGCATGACAATTTAATACATTCAAGAGTATTTACTAGAACAAAATGACAAAGTATCATTCATCAGCAGAAGCCCGTGATTGAGGAAGTAGAAAGGTAACTGGCCCTTTGTAGTGAAGCTTGTGCTTTAGGGAAGAGAGGCGGGTAAACTTCCATCTTGGAACTTCCCAGGAAGCAGCCCTAGAATAAGAGAGAACCTCCAAATATCACCTTTTGGGGGGACAGGGTCTTACATGCCAAGGCTGGCATCAAACTCATCAAATAATCGACAGTAACACTGGACTCCTGATCTTCCTGCCTCCACTTCCCAAGTACTGGAATTACAGGCATACACCACCATGACCAGTTTATCTGGTGGTGGGGGATCAACCCAGGGCCTCGTGCATTGTAGACAGGCGCTCTACCAACTCCCAAATACTACTTTTAAAAGTACATGGCCATCTACAAGCTTGCCCACAGGGCCAACAGTGTTCTTTTAGGCGCCTATTAGAGAAGGCAAAAAGCAATGGTCTGGAGTTACCTGTAGACTTGTGGGCCCTCACACAAACGTGGGCAGCCTGGCCCTGGCTGTGATGGGTGTCCGGAGTCTGGGGGAGGAGGCCCCCTGGCACACCATCTGTCCCAACTACTGGCTCCAGGCCTATCCCAAGTCCACAGATTCCAGAACAGGAATGTTATCTCTATTATAGACAAGCCCCTTCAGCAGCAGCCAACTTACTGCAAATACTTTCAGACAACTCTGGCAACTTCTACTCTGACACGAGGCTAGGCTCATATAGCCAGCGAGGGACAGAAATTGTGAACGGCAAGCCCAGGAAAGTCTCCTTAACAAGACAACCCTTCTTTATGATGTAATAAATAAAGCCTGGCTTCAGATCAAACACCCTGGTGCACAGTGGACAGGCCTCAGTGAAGGCAAATGACAGTAGACACTGGAAGCCCAGAGATTCAGAGGAGACTCATTTGGAAATGGTGATTCTCACATAGATGGTCAGTCACCCTGACAGGTCTTCGTCAGCAGAACAAGAGCAAGAACAGAATTGGGCCAACGACGACTGGAGAGGCACCGGGACAGCCAGAATAATAGGGGTGTTCTGGTACACTCTGCAGCTTGAGCTGCCAGATTTGGGCAGGATAGATGGGAGAGACTGGCCATCTGAGGCAATGCATACAGACACAGCCCACTTCCTAATAACTACTTTCTTCTCTAGGTTACATAGACACACCCAGGTCCCAGTATATAACATTATGCTTGAACACAGAACCTCACTCAGTCCATGTTTGAACTGGGCATGCTTCTTGGGAGACATTCCAGCATCCATCTAGTTAGAGGCTGTGGCCCCATTTCTACTGATGGCTGGTCTTCCGCCATCAGTGGTGTCTTGCAGGTGGCAAACAAGTGTATCCCGGAAATAACAGGTCTTGACACTGTTCAAAGAATAGCTTCTGTGTCAGGCACGTGAGATAAGGGCTTCCTATTCCCAAAATGGGGCTGCTAAATTCCAGCCAGAAATCAACAGAATTGAGTAAGGCCTTGGCTTGTGATGTAGGCCCCATACCCCAGGCACAGCGTGGAGCCATCTCTACCAGAGTCCCCACCAACATGCAGGACTCCATGAAGGTGTGGGCTCGGCTGTCCTGGTGCAGGGCTAAGGCACTGTCTTAACTCCTGCCCTGGAGGGGCAGCCATT